TCCTGCCAGGGCATCTCAGGGGGAATCGTTCCCGAGTAGAAGCCCTCCTGGCCCGAATACCACTCTTGCTGAATTAGGCATTCCTGAAGCGGAGGCTGAACATGGGCGGCCTCCTCAGGAATAGGCGTAGTTGCAGGGTTATTCTGCGAATGCTGCGAGGCGCTGGGCTGATCTGTGGACGCCTCCTCTGTAGGCAGAGAGGCCCCCATCTCCCGAGCTTTTTCAAGTAGTAGGCGATCCTCGGGGCTGAGCGTTTTGAGCCAGTCACGCAAGGACTTCTGCCGCCGATCCGGCTGTGGCCATGGCCGCAAGGGCCAGAGACGATAAGCCAAAAGAGCTCTGAGTATATGACGAATGTTGAGTGTAGGCCGATGCATGCCAGGCAAGTCGCTTTAGGCAATAGCCGGCTACACACACACCCCGTCCTTGATCGGAGAGGCTTTCGGCATAGGTGACCTGTGCCAGGAAATCTGAAAATATGCGACATGGGAAGTGGCACAGCATCCGAAGCCTGAGGGGCCAGAACCTGGGCAGGCTAGAACAACAGCACAAAGGATGTGACAGCAGAGCAGTCTTGCACACTTTAGGCTGGGCAAGGGCATCCTGAGATACTAGGCTGCTGTGTCGATATCGGAGCCGTCAAGTACCGGACCCTGATAGGCCACAGTGTCCAGGGCTCCATCTGTAAAAAGGTGGGCAATCGAAGGAAAAGACTGCTGCAACATGAGAAGTAGGCTCGCTAGGCGAGAGGCTACGGTTTGTAGGCGAGTGCGAAGGGTGTCCACCTTAGAGGACATAAAGGCCCAGGGCGAGATTAGGCTCCTGAGGCGTTGGTTTTGAAAGGCGGCCCTGTGATGGTGCCACAGGGCCTGCTGGGCTCCGGAGCGCTCCGCCTCCAGCACCCTCACACGCAGGTCTAGCCTTCGGAACCGTCTCAGTGGGTCAGGTAGGTCAACATCTGGGGCAGGAGGCGAGCCGTCGGCTTCAAAGTCGATGCTGTCGGCAGGGTGAGCTGAGGCAGTAGGCTCGGCTTGTTCGTACATAGCCGAGTAGTCGTGCTCAAAGGCAAGAGGACCTGATAGGCCGGCATTTAGGCGTTGAACCTGTGACAGGCTGGAGGCTGCACTGTGTTCCACTGGTAGGCGGGGCTGTTGTGCGAGTTAGGCCAATGGGATCGCCATGCGCGATCTTCTGCTCTAGGCATGCTGAAGGGATTAGGCAACAGACTGAAATGCTCAAGCCGATACTGCGGGCCACGGCTAAAAAGCGCCTAAATGCTATGCTGAGGCCGGGGCATGCTGTTTGGCCTGTGTGGAAGGCACCCCTGACCGGCCAGGCTCATGCAAGGGTTATCACTGGGCAAAGGCAATACTGAGGCAGAGGCTTGCTCAGAGATGCAATCATGGCAGGCACGGCTGCACTGAACCACATGAAACCAGTCCACGTGGTCTAGGCATAGCAATATATTGGCACAAGACTGGGCTCCGAGCAATATTCCTGCAAGGCCCTGAGAGCTTATAGGCATGCGAGCTTCTGCGGCTGGTCCCGCCGTGATGTTGGACAGGCCTATCGAATACATGAAACGTGGGCGAACATCGATAGGCTGAAACTGAGGCGGATGCCTGTACCTGAGGCCGAGGGCTTCTGGGTGGGAGCTCAGGCTGCTGCGTGCATTACCAGGCGAATCCGCATCGGAGTCGGGGAAGAACCTGAAGTCTTCCCCGACCACCTGAGCAAAACCTGACGAGGCTATGCTAGGCAGAGAGCCTTCAGAGTCAGAGGCATGCAGGCGAAGCACAGGGACTCCCTGCTGAAAGCGTGAGGACTGACCCATCTGAGGCTGAGGCAATAAGACCTGAACAAAAATGCATTGCTCTGAAACTAGGAATACAGGCAAACTGACTGACCGAAGTTTCTCGCTGCACAAGCACTCCAGCTTCTTCTGGAAACAAGTAGCACATCGGAAGCCTGCTCGGACGAGCATCTCGGCACAGGCTCGGCTCTTAGGCTGGACCTTAGGCGAGATGCTAAACAGCTCTTCGTGGGGAGAAGAGCGCCGCTTAAAAAGGCTATAGTCGATGTCTGTTCCAAAGGGATCACCTTCGGAAGGAGCAGCGGGATGAGGCTCCAATGCTTGCAGATCTGTAGGCACCGAGGCATTCGCGTCAGAAGTGACTGTCGATGATATAAGCAGATGAGGCGCCACAGATGGTTTCGGCTTTGGCATAGAATCAAGCTCCCGAGCTGCTAGAGGTGAGGGGGAGGCTGAAATGGTCTGAGCGCTACCCTCGGAATCCGAGACAAGGAATCCATCTAGTTTTGAAGGGCGAGGCAGAGGGCTGTCGGCTGCAGACGCCTCGTGAGAAACTCTGGCTGCTTGAACTCTTCCCAAAATGTGACCCACCGGGGTGCCGGAAGCTCGAGTAGGTCTGTCCATAGGCTGCTCGGAAGATGGGTCAGCATAGGCGGCTCGGGCCACATGCTGGGCGAGGCTGTCACTGCTCGTCTAGGCTCTGCCATTGGACACTAGGCATGTGTCGCTGTAGGGCTCGGACCAACCAGTCAAAGCAGGATTCAATGTGCAGGGTACATTCGGTCAGGACCTCGATGCCCGAAGAACCAAGAGGGCGTCTAGGCAATAGGCGATGAAGAGTGTTGTTGTTGGCTGATTCGAGGCTAACGCAGACTCGTTGAAGACGCTCAACCTCGCACTGAAAATAGGCTACTGTAATTGGGACTGGCATGTCGATATACGCTGTCGGAGGCTATCCAGAGCTTCGGCGCGTGCCTCCAGGAATTCGACGCGGCGATGAGCAAGGATATTTCCATCTGCTCTGCAGGCGACAAGCGGCGAGGCTGAGGCGTGGTGGCCATAGTGATGCTGGGGGCTGAAAGTCAGAAAGGGCAGATCTGAAATTTGAGCCGCTAGTGTGTGCGGCGCGCGTGGCGCGAGCTGGGCTAGGCATGGCGGCTGCGCAGGGCGGGCGGCGCTGGCGCGGCGCTCGCGCGCGTGCGCACGCGCCGCATAGCGCGAAATGAGGGCAAAGGCGCGCTGGCGCGGGGGCAAAAGCGTCGTGCACGGGCGCGTGCGCCGCGTAGCGCGAAAGGTGGGCAAAGCCCCGTGGCCGGGGGGCGAGGCCGCGCGAGCGCAGCGCTCGCAGGCGCAGAAGCAAGGCAAAGGTGCGCGCTGGCGCGAGGCAAGGCGGCACTATAGTGCGCGGCGCGTAGCGCAAGAGGCGGCAAGGGCGCGCTGGCGCGCGGGGGCGGGGGCAAAGCGCGTATGTGCAAGCGCGCGGCGCGCGCGAGCCAGCATTAGTCTGGCAATGCAAGCAGAAAGGCAACATGCTCATGGGACTCTTGACTAAGCAAGGCCAAAGATAACCATGAGCATTCATCCAGAAAGAGCATGAGGCGAGGGCCAGAGCTGGAACTCTCCAGGAGGGCTGTTAGGTCTGGACTTGAGGGCAAAGATTCTGGCGTCATAGGCCAAAAAAGGCTCTGCAGCAGACACTGCGCATGAAAACTGCGAGGCAAGATCTGAACAGGTCCAAAGAATGCTGGAACCTGGGCTAAGGGCACCATGGCGAGACCACTAAGGCACAGGCTAGGCAGCTGAGAGCTACAGGGCTAAGCTAGGTAGAGGCTACCTAAGATCGTACCCCCTGTTTCTTTTGCAGGAGGCTACGAATGTTCAAGTGCTAGAGCCAGACACTGTATAGATTCACGAGCCTATAAAACAGACATGAAACAAAACATGTACCATGCTTTGCAGCTCCAAAGACCACGTGCCAAGACAATGCAGATCCAGGGCGTGTTGCAGGGCGGCGCATTGTAGCAGCAAATGCGATGCCTGTTGCGGTGCGGGGCCAGGGAAGCATGTTTGCTCTGATGATTCGCGTGTCGTGCTCAGTTCAATCCCAAGACCTTGCAGCTCGCCAACGCAGGGTGTTGCAACCCTGTGCGAGAGAATGTCGATCAAGAAACCGACGGAAGCCGAGCAAAAACCCTGCAGTGCCTGCAGAAAGCACAAGCTCGGGCAACTAGCCAAATATCAAGTCACCAGGGCTGGGCGAGGCGCGATACATGCGAAGCAAAGCCTCCACCAATGTAGCGTGGGTGGCGAGGGCAACGCCGCGGGGGGTGCCGTGCGAGGCGTCTTGTTTCCTCGGCGACGCGACATGGCACACAAAACAAAGGAAAGCAATCAATCTAGCTCGTGAAGAAAAGAGCTGGACAGATCAATGCACTCAGGCCTGCCTTCCAGCAATGCGACGCGATGCTCAAAGGCACAAATATGTGACCACAAATTCTGAACACTAACGCTGAGCTTGTCTATGCGTAGACGAAGCTGGGCGGAGCATTCCAGTGTGTCCTCGGCCGATGACTGGATAGCCGAAACGAGCCTGGCTGCGCGAGGCGAATCTGGAGCAGCGCGGGGCACAGCCTCCATGATGGACAAACGGCCAAACAGCTGCGGTGCTATGCGAGTTGCTGTGCTAACAACTGAACGGGGAAAACAGGATAATGCTTCAGGCTGCAAGCCTAGTCAGCTGCGTGTTTCTAGGTTTGAGCAATGCGGTGCGGCGCGGACTTATCCTATCACTTCAAACGATTGGAAACACCGCTGACTACAACATACAAACGCACAGCGAACGTTGACAAACGAACGAAGCCTCACGGACGAAGCTCCGCTACCAGCTGTCGAGACAGTTGGAGCGGTAGGGCACAACGGTCAACCCTGCTTTTCCATGCCTGCTGCTGTATCCCGGCTTGAGGCAAGCCGCCGTGTCAGCTGCTTGTCCTCATGAGCATGTCAAGCTGCTATCCTGGTCAATGATGCACACCTGAGGCATTACGTTGGTTTTCAAAATGGGGCTTTTCTCAGCAAGCGGAACTGTTTAAGGAATCCTTATACGGCAAAACAATACTGCTGCCAATTGCAGTCAAAAATTTGAGAAACACCTCTGTGGCTTTCGAGAGAAGGCTCTGCAGGCAGAGTCCTCCAATACGGGCAGCAATGGGATCGCCACACGCCCCGGGCTGCCAATCACAAGGTCACCCCTCCTAAGCAGCTGCCGGCAAACGAATCTCAGAATCTCTCTTAATCTGACTCCCACATTCTGGCCAACAAGGACCTTAACCATCAAGAAGGGCCGAGCTTCAATGCGTCCAACATTCGCACGCTCATTGGGTGGGATACATCAGACAACTGCTGGAGCAAGTGCTTCGACAAGCCACCCACCCAGTCACATGTCTCAATGATTTGGCGGAATTGATCGAGCCGCATCTTCTCGAAGTCCTCAGAAACTGTATCCAGTGCTGATTCTCCCTCAAGTTGGAAGCATCGATCCTCAGTATGGAAGACTACATCCTCTCATTGAATGCAGCTGCTAGCAGGATCCAACTTCAACAGACACACATTACGTCGACACTCCCAGCCAGTGCAGGCTCAGCACGTTGTCCATCATGACCAGCCATCCTTGACCCTGATCAAGATCTGCATAGAAGTGGCTGTGCGTGCTCTTGCCACAACGACAGAGATAGCTGAACACGGCGTAGTCATAGAAGTTCAGGAAACGAACGGGGCCCTCCGTCAAGAGAAACCATCCCTCGTCAGCATGGCTGCGCAAGAGTGGCCTCACCCGATCGCTCCACGCCACAGCAGCTCCATCTACCTCTATCTGCGGAAAGATCCGCGAGAGCCTGACGGACAAAGCCCACTCTATCCCGTGCCGACTTGGCTTTGCAGAAGGAGTGTGTGATGCCTACGGATAAGGATGGATCAAGATCTCTGCTGTTTATCAAACCCTACATTCGCCAGACACCCTCTCCATCCCGTTGCTCTGTAGGCTCTGCAGGCCCGCCTTGAGACACATCCCAACTTCATGGAGTGTAGCGAGCACTGTTCACATACATCGCGAAAGCGCTGCATCACTTCATCAACACTCATGGTGCGGCCTACAGCAGGCAGGGACGTCCACACCCCAAGCGCAACGTCCAAGGCAAAGACGAGAATCTCTGGCCAGAAGCTCTCATCATTGAAGTCTCGGTTCTGGGAATGCATCGCCTTCCTGGGAACGAGGGATGCAGGGGGCTGTGGGCAAAGCAAGGCTTTCCGGCCTGCCTGGCAATAAGAAATCCCTGAAACTGTCTGCCACCCACGGCTCCAATAGACCTTGTTTCCAGCGTCGGAGTCGAGCTGCAGTGTCATGGCCAGGCCACAAGCCAAACCATGCCATGGCTCAAGTCGCTTGGCTTGGCCCTCCTGCACTTGCAAAGTCACTACGCCTTCAAACACCCCGGAGAATCATAAGTCATAAGCATCATAAGTGACACTTTGAACACTGACAGCCCAAGGCTCCCATCGTGCGTGCAGGAAGGGCTTCGCACTCGTCGCCGAAGCGGGAGCTTGCAATGCAACTCGCCAGGAATCAAGGCTGGCGATCTTCAGGCCCGTGGCTTGCGCCCAGAACTTGGCACTCGGCAGACTCGGCAGCACAGATGAAGTTTTGGAGGAAGGCGAGGTCGACGCCAACCGGCTTGGGCAAGGCAGGCAGGGCTTGCCCATCTCTGAGTTCAACACTTCCTGCGAGTCAACGCAAGCTCATGGATCTGACTACCGATCTCGTCTTCCAAGCGAGGCAGCTGGCAGACAAGGCCATGGGGACGTTTACCTAGAAAGTTGCAGAAGGCTTGACGGGAGGGCTGGTGAACAGGGAGAATCAGAAACGCCTGGAAATCTCGATCTCGATCCTGCTCCAAGAACAGTGCGCCGGCGCCCTGGCCGTTGACCCAGTCAAGCAGATTGTACTCAAAATTGTGTAGCAAGCGAAGGCCACTCGCCTTCCAAGTTCCTCGGTAGACGCGCTTGGGCACCGAATAGGAATCCCCACGGCGCAGGCCAACACCTTACAGCAGGGGGAGTATAGCAATGAACACGCTCACGAGCGGCAACACACATCATAGGAAAAAATGGTGTGACAGATGGCGTAGTGCAACTTTGACTCTGTTCAATGTGAAGGTGGAGTTTCGGATCTCGACCGCGACATCTCCAAAGCCGACCTCCAGACCTTGTTCACAACCCTCGATGTATGCATTCACAACCAGCACTTGGCTGTGCAGCAGCTTCGGGTGGCTTATCCGAGACCTAGCCAGCCATAGCGGCGAGGACAGAGCCAGGCCCTCATGATGCCAGCGCCGGATCTCCTTGGTGGACATGTGCTGCAATCCGTAAGAAATGCCCGCAAGGGTGCCAATGCCGAAGTGCCCTAGCCTGGGATGCCTCAAGCACCATTGACACCACAAAGGCAAAAGAGGTCAAAATTAAGACGATTCATGCTTAAGCTGTCTCGACACCGTCGTGCCTCGTGTCATGGGTTGGCTCGGGATCTGCAAGTTACGTGCCCCTCAACGCCAAGCTGCGCATGCAGGGATTTCCCCACACCCCAGCCTGCAGCTAAGGCTCTACATCTCGGATCTCCACGAAACCTCCGCAAAAATCAATGGCATCGTCATTTCCTCTGATAAACACGGAAGACTCAATCAAGCTAACGGGCCAAGAGTTGGCACCAAGGGAGCCATGCAAGGCTCCAAAGCTTCTATCCGGCAACGAGGCCCACCAGGGCCCCTCCTCGATATTCTCAGGACGGACGTTGAGATATAGGCCGTCGTTGTCATCCTCGCCAAGCTCTCTCGAAGCACCTGGCAACTCCAGCACATGCATGAACCTGAAGGTCACCAAACTGTCGAAGTGCTCCCCGCCAGTATCCACTCGTGAAATCAGGGAATCCGACATAAAGACCAGGGACTCACGTGACCCGGCAGCTTTGCCAAGGCAGTCGATAATTGCCGATGAAGCCACCGAGAGAATTCCACGCTCCGCGTAGAGGACCGGTTCCGAGTTCGAGTGGCCATGCAGATACTCTAAATTACCGGTGACGCCACCCTGAGATACAACGGTGTGTTGTAGCAGCACTGTGCCACCGGTGCAGCGGATCGACCCCCAGCTTGCGGCACCCTTATCTGCTGAAAACAGAACCGGATCCTCCGCACGGCCAACGCTCCTCAATGCCCCCTCAACAAAAATTGACACCGCTTCTGCGAGTTGGACCACTGTCCCAGGCACAATGTGAAGCGTTGCCCCACTCAACACATGTACATCAGATGTGACTCGTACCACTCCAGGCCCCCAGAGCGAAAATTCCTCCGAGATTGCACCCTGGTAAATTTCTGCGCGTTCGGTCAGATTGATATGAACCGTAGCGAAACACACGGTGGGACTCAGCACAGAGAGGCTCGCCAAACCCCTGAATCTGTTTTGGCGACCTCTGAGGTCAAAGGAACACGACCCACGGCCCCTGTAAACAATGACGTCGCACTCTGCAGTGCCTCGTGGAAGTCGCAGAACAAGCTTCACATACCGTTCTCCTGTTGGTGGTCCACTGGCAGCTTGCTTATCGCCCGGGACTTCGACCAGGACAGGTAGGAACTGTAGTGTCTGGCTGATCTGCCGCGGCACCCGCATCAAAGCCGGGGCGCAGGAGTCAACATACCTCAAGTAAGTTGTGGATGCGGCACGCTGCAAATTCTCTGCGGTAAGCCTCCTGCGGTATTTCTGTTTGAAATCCAACAGGCTCAGACTGTGCGGGAAGAGGCTTTGGAGCAATTGGCGCAGCGACTTGGCTAGTTCCGAGGCTGATGGCCTTGGCAAGGGGCCAAGAAGACCCAGCAGAAGCCCAGCCAAGCTGTGGCCGCCTGAAGAAAACTGATTGTGGAGGATCCGCTTGAAACCCGTCATGGCGCTCAATGCAGGGAAGCTCCAGCGTGCACGCCGCCTTGGCTTGATGTAGCTGTCCTCAAACAGCTGGAACGAAATGTTGCTGCTACGCCATCGAACTGGGAGCGGTTGCGTTCCGAGCAGCGTGAGAAACAACTGACCCAGTGAAAAAAGATCCCTTTCCACGGCAATACCATAGCACTCCAGATCCTCGTGTGTCGTTCTCCAGTTGTATGTTGCATAGAAATCATCCATCTTCAAGACTGCTCGTGATGGGACACAAAGGTTAGCTGCTCCTAACACTGGCCCATCCAGGTAGCGGTCTAGATTCGGGCTGGACGTGCCTTTTTCCTCACGGACTCTGGCGCCCATATTTGGGAGCACGATGGCCATGTCGAAATCAATCAGCATCAACGCGCCGGTGTCAAAGTTCACTAGCACATTCCGATCGATCAAGTCATTGTGCAGGACTGGTCCTATAGGGGAGTGATGAAGGTAAGCAAGAGCCTCCGCCACTTTGATAGCGAAAACCAGAAATCGAATCTTGGCCTTCGCGCTTGTCTGCAAATCTAGAAGAAAAGTCTTTGTCAACGGTCTACATCCTGCACACTGCCGCACAATGGTGCTGCCTGCAGCGCACTGGCAAAGTGGAGTGGCCAAGAAGGGATGGTTCAAGACGGATAGCAAAGACTGTTTGTATGTCATTGCGCTAACACCCGGGCTTGTCGTGATGCGCAGAAGAGGGGTGGCACTTGCCGCATTCAGTATCATCTCCACCCGTTTGGTTGTTGATACCGCATTCTGCAGAGGTTCACCTGGCGCATGGCAAAGGTGCCTGCATTCGTCGTCGGATGGCCGCCATGTCAAATCCGGGCTGTCTTCCTTCGCCCACTGAAGCTGGCAACACGAAGCTTCGTTTATCCCTGGTGTCGTGTCACCATTCGGCCAGGCCCAGCACCGTGATTCAGGCTGGTGCATCTCGTCTACCGAGCAACAGTGGTACAAGAAGTTGTCCTCTGACCCCCATGTGGCCAACGCGAATGTCCTACAAAACTCATCGAGGATTTCTTGCGCAATCACAGTGCGCGCCATGACGAATAATGCCAAAATCACACACCGCATGCACTTGCCATGGCGCTGCCCGAGCTGCATGGTGATCAAACGAGTGGCAGAAACCCTCGAAGATTCCGAGCTGGATTTTTCGGGATTTCAACAGACACGGGCTTAGAAACATCGCATACGAGCATTGGGATTATATGCGCCTGTTCGTGCTGCTTCCTAGCAAAGTCCGCAATTGGATCACCTATAGGACCTATACTATATTGTGTCTTGATCAGGCAAGACCAAATGCGCACAAAGCTGAAGAAACAGGAGCTGCAAGTATGAGTTCAACCAATGCAAAGCATCATCATTATGACACTGCGTTCGAATTGCCCGCACTTCCCACCGGTAGTTAACACCTTGTTGTGTCTAGCATTGACAGTTTCCGCATCTTTTCGTCGCTACTTCTCAACTTTTCGATTCGTTTTTCTCGCAAGCGCAGGGTCCAACGAAAACTCCCGTCAGCACCGACCTATCAAAGTCGCTTTAGAGTTTCGTGGCTTGGTTTGTGCACTACACGTACCCCAAAAGCTCTTTGCTTGGCAACTGCAGAAACTTAGTGCCCATTTCGAGGAAACAGTCTAAAAGACTTGTAGGGTTCTTAGTGGCTCTAGACGGGTTGCATAGGATAGGGGAGGCCGGGCAACCCAGTTCGCCCCTGTCAAAATGAAGACGTCCGAGTGTGCATGAGTGCATGCAGTCTTGATGTCCATGTTCACTTGTACTGATGCCTTGAACATGTTGTGCACTTGTGAGTCTTTGCCTTAACCGATTTCTTCATGAATTTTGA